CCACAGGGAGCTCCACCGAAGGCCCCAGTGCTGCCGTCCGCATGCGTCCCGCACACCCATTTCGGCACACCCCTCACACGTTTCGTGGCCCCATAGGGAGCTCCACCGAAGGCCCCATGGTCCGCATGCGTCCCGCACACCCATTTCGGCACACCCCTCACACGTTTCGTGGCCCCACAGGGAGCTCCACCGAAGGCCCCATGGCTGCCGTCCGCATGCGTCCCGCACACCCATTTCGGCACACCCCTCACACGTTTCGTGGCCCCATAGGGAGCTCCACCGAAGGCCCCATGGTTGCCGTCCGCATGCGTCCCGCACACCCATTTCGGCACACCCCTCACACGTTTCGTGGCCCCACAGGGAGCTCCACCGAAGGCCCCAGTGCTGCCGTCCGCATGCGTCCCGCACACCCATTTCGGCACACCCCTCACACGTTTCGTGGCCCCATAGGGAGCTCCACCGAAGGCCCCATGGCTGCCGTCCGCATGCGTCCCGCACACCCATTTCGGCACACCCCTCACACGTTTCGTGGCCCCACAGGGAGCTCCACCGAAGGCCCCAGTGCTGCCGTCCGCATGCGTCCCGCACACCCATTTCGGCACACCCCTCACACGTTTCGTGGCCCCATAGGGAGCTCCACCGAAGGCCCCATGGCTGCCGTCCGCATGCGTCCCGCACACCCATTTCGGCACACCCCTCACACGTTTCGTGGCCCCACAGGGAGCTCCACCGAAGGCCCCAGTGCTGCCGTCCGCATGCGTCCCGCACACCAGGTGTGTGGCGTGCCGACATGGGCGTCGCGGCGCGCGGGCGCTGCCGTCGGGGTTCCCAGGGAAGCCCCCTGCAGAGGCGACGCTCAGAGTCACGAGTACCGAGAGTCACGCAGACCCAAACTGTTCACAGTCGTATACATACATTTACACTGGGCGTATCCATGCACGCATTCATGCGAATAGAATCAATCGCGCGCAGATTCATTCATAATCAGACTCGCTCGCGATCCGACTCGCACGCGCTCAAGCTTTCATATTCGGACCTATCGTCTTCGTTCGTGTTGTGTACACTGCCACGCATTTCGGCACACCCCTCATACGGCTCGTGGCCCCATAGGGAGCGCCACCGAAGAAGATATTCACAATTGCGGTACTCTCAACTGCATATGCCCCGCCGAGCACCGCCACCATCAGTCAGGTCTGGACTGGGAAGGCTTCACACGGAAGGGAAGACAACCACCGCGCGACGGGAACAAAGGTGAGAGAGAGAGAGTGATAGAAAGAGAGAGAGAGAGAGAGGAAAAAAAGGAGAGGGAGGGAGGGAGGGACGAAGGAGGGAGGGGAGCGCGAGAAGAAAGAGGGCGGATGATGATATGGTGAGTTTCGCAGGGGGGGATTCGACCCCTAACCCGCTTGGCGCATGTGTTGTATAGTTGGGATCACGTGCATGCCATAAGGTCAAGCTGTCCAATAAAACCAGGCCCGCTGAACCCAACAATGTGCACATAAAGCTCGGAGCACGTCGCTGGGATCACAACCATCACAAAAAGTCGAACGTGGTTTTCGGATGCTGTGGCACGCGTGTGATTCATGTTGCCCATCTTTGACGGAATCGCCCCCTAAAACCAAATGTGCCAAATATTGCATCAACGGCTGGCTCTGCGCTCTGATCTCTCACATGCTATGAGATCCGTGATGCCCAACCTCTCGCTCAAGAACTCACGCCCGACCAAGTAGCAATGGCATGGCCCATGAGCTGCGAAACGAAACCTGCCCCGTCCACGGACCATGTGGTCGACGCCAGCGCTGACCACACACGCCGGTCTGTGGTAGACCTCCCCTTCGCAAAACAGACATCCTCCTCCTCCTCCTCCTCCTCCCGCACCTCCTCCTCCTCCTCCTCCTCCTGCTCCTCTTATTCCACCACCTCCTCCACCTCCTCCTCCTCCTCCCCCTCCTCCTCCTCCTCCTCCTCCTCATCATCAACATCATCATCAGCATCATCGGACCTCCCAGGATCAGTCGGCACCGAAGCGAGACGCACGACAGAAGCGTCATGTGCGTCGGATCGGCCCGCACATGGACGGGATCGAAACCGAATCGGATCGGCCGCGCAAGATGCACGACGGCGCGCCATGCAAACATCGTGCCGCCCGCATCGGACTGCCAGAATACCGGGATCGAATCGGATCGAGCCGGCTGGAATTGGCATCGAGCCCGCCAGGAGGAGGAGGAGGAGGGCGAGAACGAGGCGGCAAGAAGGGATGCCGGAGGACGCCCTGACCAGGCCGGGAGGAGATGGTCAAGAAGAAGAGGAGGGGGAGGAGGAGGAGGAGGAGGAGGAGGAGGAGGAGGAGGAGGAGGAGGAGGAGGAGGAGGAGGGCGAGGAGGGGGAGGAGGGGGAGGAGGCGGAGCCGGAGGACGAGGACACAAATGAAGAGGCTCCTCCGACAATGCCTTCAGGGACGTGTTCTGAGGAGCCCCCGGCCTCTGGAGACCTCCCGGTTGCATGTTTTGGAGGGAAGAACGGGATCGATCGCATCGAAGCGGACCCTGGACGTCGTGATCTCTCTTTCTTTCTTTATTTCTTTATTTCTTTATTTCTTTATTTCTTTCTTTTTTTCCCAACCATCCTGTGGTGTTGGGTCCTCGTTTTGAAGAGACGGTGCCCCGCGTTCCCTCCTCCTCCCGCTGCCCCCTCCCTCCTGCCATCATCATCATCATCATCATCATCATCATCATCATCATCATCATCATCATCATCATCATCATCATCATCATCATCATCATCATCATCATCATCATCATCATCATCATCATCATCATCATCATCATCATCATCATCATCATCATCATCATCATCATCATCATCATCATCATCATCATCATCATCATCATCATCATCATCACCCCCCCTCTTCCCTGCGTTTCACCCACCCAGTTCTCCACCGAAGGCCCCAGTTGCGTTTCGGCACACCCCTCACATCCATAGGGAGCTCAGTCCGCATGCGTCACCACACCCAATTCGGCACACCCCTCACACGTTTCGTGGCTCCATAGGGAGCTCCACCGAAGGCCCCAGTGCCCGCGCCCGCATGCGTCACCACACCCATTTCGGCACACCCCTCACACGTTTCGTGGCTCCATAGGGAGCTCCACCGAAGGCCCCAGTGCCCGCGCCCGCATGCGTCACCCACACCCATTTCGGCACACCCCTCACACGTTTCGTGGCTCCATAGGGAGCTCCACCGAAGGCCCCAGTGCCCGCGCCCGCATGCGTCACCCACACCCATTTCGGCACACCCCTCACACGTTTCGTGGCTCCATAGGGAGCTCCACCGAAGGCCCCAGTGCCCGCGCCCGCATGCGTCACCCACACCCATTTCGGCACACCCCTCACACGTTTCGTGGCTCCATAGGGAGCTCCACCGAAGGCCCCAGTGCCCGCGCCCGCATGCGTCACCCACACCCATTTCGGCACACCCCTCACACGTTTCGTGGCTCCATAGGGACTCCACCGAAGGCCCCAGTGCCGCGCCCGCATGCGTCACCCACATCCAATTCGGCACACCCCTCACACGTTTCGTGGCCCCATAGGAGCTCCGCCGAAGGCCCCAGTGCTGCCGCCGCATGCGTCACCCACACCATTTCGGCACACCCCTCACACGTTTCGTGGCCCCATAGGAGCTCCGCCGAAGGCCCCAGTGCTGCCGCCCGCATGCGTCACCCACACCCATTTCGGCACACCCCTCACACGTTTCGTGGCTCCATAGGGAGCTCCACCGAAGGCCCCAGTGCCCGCGCCCGCATGCGTCACCCACACCCCGGCACACCCCTCACACGTTTCGTGGCAGCTCCGCCGAAGGCCCCAGTGCCCGCCCGCATGCGTCACCCACACCCATTTCGGCACACCCCTCACACGTTTCGTGGCTCCATAGGGAGCTCCACCGAAGGCCCCAGTGCCCGCGCCCGCATGCGTCACCCACACCCATTTCGGCACACCCCTCACACGTTTCGTGGCTCCATAGGGAGCTCCACCGAAGGCCCCAGTGCCCGCGCCCGCATGCGTCAGCCACACCCATTTCGGCACACCCCTCACACGTTTCGTGGCTCCATAGGGAGCTCCACCGAAGGCCCCAGTGCCCGCGCCCGCATGCGTCAGCCACACCCATTTCGGCACACCCCTCACACGTTTCGTGGCCCCATAGGGAGCTCCGCCGAAGGCCCCAGTGCCCGCGCCCGCATGCGTCAGCCACACCCATTTCGGCACACCCCTCACGCGTTCCGTGGCCCCATAGGGAGCTCCGCCGAAGGTCCCAATGGGTGTGCCCGCATGCGTCCCGCACACCCATTTCGGCACACCCCTCACGCGTTTCGTGGCCCCATAGGGAGCTCCACCGAAGGCCCCAGTGGGTGTGCCCGCATGCGTCTCGCACACCCATTTCGGCACACCCCTCGTACGTTTCGTGGCCCCGTAGGGGGCTCCACCGAGAAGATATTCACAATTGCAGTATTCACAATTGCATATGGTTGGGTCCTTCGCCAGGATAATTGTTTTCTTTCTTTCTTTCTTTCTTTCTCTCTCTCTCTCTCTCTCTCCCTCCCTCTTCCTCCACGACGTGGGGGCGCCCCCCCGGGGGGGGGGGTTCTCGGCTCCCTGGCTCCGCCCACCAGGGAGGGAGGGGGACGATGGAGGGAGAGGGCAGGTGGCAGGGGAGGGGAGATGGAGTCAGCCTGTATAGCAATGACGCGCAATAAGGATGCAAGGGCCTTGGACGCCCCTTTCGAAGCTTTTCGAGCGGGGTGCGGGCCACGAAAGTGGCGAAGGATACCCTTGGGAAGGTTGCCCGTCCTTACTGTGCGGGAAGACTGTAGCAGAGGGGGGAGCACAGGGGAGCTTCTGGGCTGGGAGGGCAGAAGGGAGGGCCAGAGAGGAGTGAGAAGGGACGGGAGGGGGAGGGAGGAGAAGCAGGAAAGGAGCGGCAGGAGGGACGTGCAGGGAACAATGGAGGAAGGGACGCAGAACGAACACGAGTGACAATGAGGATCAGAAGCTACACGAGCAGGACGAGCAGGGCCAGGAGAGCAGCGGGCAGAGGCCGTCTCAGGAACAACAGAGTGATGATCCTACCGTCGCCTTATGGACCGAGCGTTTCTGTTCGTTGAAGTTACTGCACGGGACCAAACACGCATCGACAGATTCTGCTCGTAGGTACGGCCTCGCGGTCAAACACGCCTTGGCGCTGAGCCAGGTCGGGGCACAGCTAGGGCGTGGGAGGAGAGGGCGCACGACGATGAGAATATCGGGAATGATTGGCAGGAGGATCAGGAAGAAGCGTAGCAAAAAAGGAACAGGGAGGAGGAATGGATGGAGGGAAGGATATATACTGGAGGAGGGAGGGAAGTGGAGGGGGAAGAGACATCGCGACAAATCGAGAGGACGGTTTTTTACGATGTTCGGGCTCTGAGGCACGATGTTAGCCCCAAAACCGCAGACAACAATCCTGGCATGAGAAGAAACCGCACCGTCGAAGTCCGCTCGTCAGACGCGATACTGGACGGCATGCGTGCGGACCACTACCCGGCAATCCATCAGGCCCCTCCCACGAGACACCTCCAAGGAGCGCACGCTATCGTTGTGGGCCTCGGGAAGAATTGCGGGTGGACTGCGTAAGATTTGGCAAGAACACGCATGTAACGATAAGGGCGCATGGCCACAGGCTGTGGTCCTGGAGAAACCACGCTTGGGCTCGCAAAAACAAGCTGGAAAATTCGAAACAAATTGCACACAACTCAATGCATCGCAAGTCGACTTGGACAGGAAAGCCGAAACCAACTGAACTGAGGACAATGAATATTGCCGGGATCGGCACGCGCGGGCGCGCGCAAACGTGTTCACACTCATGCGATGTCCGATCTCTCAGTATGGGTTGTTGGCTCGTGCTTCTGGAACCGAGGCTGCACTTGTCAAGCCGAGCATTCAGGCAACAACAAGCGCGAAAAGAGTGCCCGCGGCCTTCCAGGATGTCTCCTGCCCCTTTCCAGTCACCACAACAACAAAATGCTGGCACGCATCATCCCAACGAGGATTGAAGCAGTCGCCGTCCGAGCCCGAGAAGTGCCCAACTGACGAAGAAGAGGCAGGGAGGCCTGGAGATGAAAGTAAGGCAACATCGAATATTGGCCGAGCGAAAATCTTCTCGCCAGAGAAGCCCAGAATGACGGCCTCTGCGTCTGGCGAATCTGCAATTGAGTTCGCCATGTTTGTTCAACGGCACCCACGCCTTACGGATCCCCCCCTCCTCATCTCATGATCCGTTCCGTCCTCCCCCATCCGTCGCACCCATTTTCCTCTGGTTCTGCTCCTCCCCCCGGTCCCCCTTCCTCTGCCCCTCTTTCCTCACTCCTGCTCCCCCTCCCCCCGCCCTCATCCACTATCTCCTAATCCTCCGCTTTTATCCTTTTCCTGTTCCTCCTCCTCCTCCACCCTTTCCCTCGACGACATGCTCTGCCAGCTTTCCGTACCCGTCGTTTCCCCAACGTTCTTCTCCCCCACGCTCCCCACATGGACTCGCCAAAATCATCCTCTTTCTCCTCCTTCTGCTCCGTCTCGTCCTCCTCCCCGCTCGCCTGCACGGCCTTCAATTCAACATGATGATTCACCTGATTGGAAACATTTACCTGTGGGCAATCACTTACTGCGAGACCTGTGCACATACTCGAACGATGTTGCCCCTTGATCCAAACACGTCACGCCTAGCTGCTGATGGTTCCAATTCACGTCAATCGCAAGACTCTATCATATGATGGAGCCTGGCCGTGATCTGCATGGCGGGAGCGATGTCTCTAGCAACATCCGTTGCGATATTGTCCGCTGGTAGATTCCAATCATGGAGGCACTTGCTCTTGAAGTGATGGATGGAAAGGGGGCCCTTGGCCGAGGCCACTTCAAAGGCAACGGCAGCAAGGCTGGCAACCATGACAGCCTCCCTGGGCACTGCATCTTCCCTTCTCGATAACATTGGAACATGGACTGTGAGTCTGATCGTATATCTAAGTATTGCTGCTCAGAGCGGCCAGGATCAGTCAATATAGCGACGCACGTCCACGACAGGCCAAGAAGCTCGACACCCGTGCTGCCGAGGTGAGTCTAAACACATCTATTATGCAACTACCCCCGCCCCATTTCGCAGCCCAAGAGCGCGCGAAGGCAACTTCACTCTGAGCGTCGACTTTGACGCGAGCTGTCGCCCACGCTGCAGCATGGCTTCGTTCGCTGCCATCCCCTGGACATTCGATCCGTAAGCGTAATGGGCGACGGTCGACTCCGGCGCGGCTGGATCATCAAGCTCCAACGAACGCACTCTGAGATTCCATGTGAAACCTCGCTCCACAAGGTCGAGCCAGAGGGCATGTCCACACCCCTGATGACGGCAGTAACTTCAGTCGCCTCGCTGCACCCTGGAGGCGAATTGGAAGAGGGCGGCACGGCAACGCCAGCCGGGGCTGTCTTCGCCCTCAAATCTTCCAGATGTTCATGATAACTACGCATTGTTGCCGGAGCTCGAGCGGTCCAATTCTGGGCAACAAACAGACCGCGCGCGAGGTGACGAGGCAAGCGCACTGTTCCACCCCATGGCGGAGATCCACCGGTCTCGCGCGCCTGCCGGGGCAAGAGCGGCAGGCGCGGAGACCCGGGCGCGGAAACAGACTTCTCACCCGCGGGGGCCCAAGCGCTCGAACAGATGGGACAGTTCAAGCTGTCGTCTTCTTCCAAGTTCAGACCCGACCGAGACGGGGGCGGGACTGGTGCAGAAGTCTGCCCCAGGCTGCTGGGGGCATCCTGAAGCTGGTTGCTCAGGACTAGCATGAAGACTGGTCTACTGCTGTGGATCACTCATTCCTTCAGAAAGCGGCTCACAGCATGGCGCCTGGACGCGGCTTCCCACTGCGCGCGCGTAGGCCAGCATTGGAACCGGCGCAGCCCTCGCGGTCGCAGTTGCCCCCTCATTCAGAATGGAGCCAGGCCGAGTGCATCTACAATCTTGCACCGGCACTGGTGGAGCATCTTCTGGAAAGAACCCTCTGGTTAAGCACGCGCCCAATCGAGGCTTTTGCGGCCGTGACTTCATTGGCGCGCCCAGCAGTAGGACCGCGCAGGAGAGGTCGATCTCCACATTCAATGGTCTCGTATGCTGCGTCGAGAACTAGGGCGAGGCCCCCCGTCGCGCTGCCCATGGGCCCAAAGATGAGCTCCTGCTGCGTCGCTGCCATGCGCTGCGCCGGTGAGCACATGGTCCGAGCGGCGCTGGAACTTCGGGCGAGCACGCTTTCTAGAAAAGACCCCTCTGGAATTACCGCCTGTTCGGGCTCGCCTTGTCTGAAGCCAACGGAGTCGAGCAGCCTCCGACATGCGCTTGGCCAATCGGCTTTGACGGCGGCGGCCGAGCTGCGGCGGCGCTGCCTGGAAAGCGGGGGGCGCCCCCGACCCCCGTCTGAAAAGGCGCCGATCCATCCTCCAGGCTTGAGCCAGGCACATCGCCCTGGCATTCAAAGATTTCTGAAGTTGGTGCGATTGGACTCCCCACTGGCGCCCGGCATGCGTCCCACTGGTACCTACTGGGGTGGCTGTGGCGCATGAGGCATCTACTGCTGGTAGGCCATCGCTTGGAGGGCGTGGGCGGCCTGTCCCAAGGCCTTCTCCGAGTTGTCCTGCCTGCTGACCATGCCGATGAGCAGTCCTCTTAGCTCCTGCAGTTGGTCGCTGTCTTGCACCCAGTAGGTTCGCTGTAGTTGACTAGGCGGCTGCACGTGCTGGGGTCGTCCTGGAGCTGGTCGCTGAGGACTAGAGTGAAGACTGATTGACTGTTGGTAGGAAACATTCATCCCCTCGGAAAGCGGTTCAACGCATGGTGCCTGGGCGCAGCTTCCCACTGCGCGCGCGCAGGATGAGATTGGATGCGGCGCGGCCCTTCTGGTCGCAGTTGTTCCTGCATTCAGAACGGAGCGAGGTTGAGTGCAACTAAAGTCTTGCACGGGAACTGGTGGATCATCTTCTGGAAAGAACGCTCTGGTTAAGTACACCCAAGCGAGAATTCGAGGTGGTGGCTTCACTGGCGCGCCCAACATTGGGCCCGCACAGGCGAGGTCGATCTCCACATTCAATTGTCTCGTATGCTGCGCCGAAAACTAGAGCGAGGCTTCCCGTCGCGCTGCCCATGGGCCCAGGGGTGAACTCCTGCTGCGTCGCTGCCATTCGCTGCGTCGGTGAGCACGATGGTCCGAGTGGCAATTACTTCGGGTGAGCACGCTGCCTGCCAGAAATCAGAGACATTGGTGCGATTCAACTCCCCACTGGCACCAGGCATGCGTGAACCACTGGTACCTGCTGGGGTGGCTGTGGCGCTTGAGGCACCTACTGCTGGCAGGCCATCGCTTGGAGGGCGTGGGCGATATGTCCCAAAGCCTTCTCCGACTCATGTTGCCTGTTGGCCATGCCGATGGACAGTCCTCTTGGCTCCTGCAGTTGGTCGCTGTCCTGCGCCCTGTGGGTTTGCTGTAGTTGACCAGGTGGATGCACGTGCTGGGGTTGTCCTGGAGCATGGCTTTGACCAACCATCGCTGGCGCCGACCGTGCCACTGCCAGCCGGGAGGCCTGCTGCGGCGGCGGCGGCTGCGGTGGCCCAAGCGGGCCAGGCGCTGGTCGTCCTGGCTGTGCTCGCATTTGACATGCTGGCGCGGGCATGGGCGGGAACATCTGCTGGTCCTCCTCCGCGGCTAGGTCCTCGAGCCGCGAAAAACCAACCCTGTGGGCAATGTCGTTGTGATTATTGGTCTCTTGGGTCTCTAAGTCTTTGATGCGGCTCTGGATCGCCCGCAAGCGCTGGAGATCCCGCTCGAGCTTGCCTTTGTATTCTCCGATATGCTGCCTGAGTGGCATCGTGGCTTGGACAATTCACTTGTAGGCCGCTATCTTCTTGTCGTGGCACTCTGCGAGCTGGATCCCTCAGGCTCAACGCGCTGTCATGGCCAGGAACGCGAGGTCGTTGATCTGTCTCTTGCACTCCACGCTGGAGGCGTGCTGGACGCAGTTTGGTGGCGCGTTGTAGCACTGATTCGACGAGGCCTCATCCTTGTTCACGGGTGGGGCCCTTGCCAAGTATGTTCGAACATCTCGCTCGCTGAATTGTGGCGCCTGGAGCCTCGAGCGACTGTTGTCTCTCCCGGGCTGCCTCTTCGGGCAAGGTGCCCACACGTCTCGACGTGAGGGTCCCACGTCGCAATCCACTGTGCCATCTCATCTTCTGAAAAACGATGTAGCTTGGATCAGGAGCGGCCAAAAGGGGGGTGTCGAAGAGGGGGGGGTGCAAATCATGACCGGCGGCACGTGCGCGGCCCAGCGGGGGGGCCAGGGACGTAATGAAATAAGAAGCGGCGCCATGAAATCTGGGAAATATCATGACCCCCGCCACGATATCCACACACCCCTAGTCATCACCCCCCTCTTTTCCGCCCCCGATTGGAGAACGGCAACTGTTGGGAATGCCTGATGCAGGCGGACCAGAGTTCGAGCTTGTGAACGATGCGCCCTTGTGAACGACGTGTGTGTGTGTGTGTGTTGTTTTTGTGTTGTGTGTGTTGTTTCCGGGTGTGTTTGTTTGTTTTGTGTTTGTTGGTGTGTTTGTTGTTGTTTTGTTGTGTTGTTTTGTTTGTGTTGTTTTGTTCCCACATGTTGTGATGTTGTTTCCCCACAGTGTGTTGTTCCCCACAGTGTGTGTGTGTGTGTGTGTGTGTGTGTGTTTGTGTGTGTTCTTTTCCACAGTGTGTGTGTGTGTGTGTTTGTTATGGTTCGCTCCTTCCAGAGGTCTCGCCGTGGCCAGCGTCAGACGCAGCTACTCACGCGGGGCAAGCAGACGTCGCCCGCTGGCCTCGAGCACGACGGGGTCGGGCCGAGCAACATCCCTGCGCTCGGGACAAAAACCCTCTCCTCCTCCTCGTACTCCTCCTCCTCCTCCTCCTCCTCCTCCTCTCAACCGCGAGCGGCGCCACTGGGGTCTTCGGTGGAGCATCATCATCCTCCGTTTCGTTGTCCTTCTCTTTCGCCGCATCATCCTCTTCCTGCACCCGAGGCAGAGCAGGGGAGGGGGGCCGTCTCCCTCATCCCCCCGATAACTCTGCATGCTCTCTCTCTCTCTCTCTCTCACCTAACCGGCCTCGAGCCCATTACCATCCACATGACTGGCAAGCTCGATACGATGTCAATATCAAATATGTGCCCTCAGTCTTCAGCTAGCTGGCAAACGAAGTTTCCTTTCACAACCCGTCCGTCGTCCAAATGGGAGGCCCATGGAGTTCTCGTCGTGCCAAGAGGCGCTTCCCATAGCGAAAAGAAAGGATTGTATGACCTGGTAGAGGGGAGATTTGGGACGGGAGAGCCTGTTGCAAGCAGCATCGTCGATGCATCCTGGGTTCACTCTTGTCCCCTTCCTCCATGCCCTGGCACCCTGGCCATCCCCCCCAAACAACTCCTTCGAAGACCTCGAAGCAGGGAAGTCTGCGCCCCCAGCCCCGAGAGATCCGCCGATGTGCTGCCTCTCGAGGCCCGAAAACGGCCCCCGCAAGCCGAAAGAGCAAAAACGCAAGGACTGAAAAACAATCCGCCAGAGGACCCAATGATCCGATGTCCTACCTTTTCACTGCTGGTTCAACTGAAGTCTCGGCCCTTTCCCCCTGGGCCAGCTTTTAGTCGGGCCGCTTTTGACGGTCACGGGACCCGACAAGGGACAGAACTGAGAAAGACCTCCACCTTGGCTTGTCGGGTGCGTCGGAGGTCTGGTGGGAGCCGCACATGTACACACTGAGGTGGACGGGCCTTCGCCCCAAACACAGTGTACATATGTTGTTAAACGCCTCGCGCTCGAGATCCTACCCCGAAGGGTGTCCTCTATATTGTGAGCGGTGGTGAGGGCGAACATCGTGTCATGGTCATGTCCATGTGCCCGATCTGTTTGGACAACGACATGAGTACGGGGAAAACAGGGTGCGATATGAAACAACAGTTGTTGCCCAACACCGACAGCGGCCGCTGTTGTCCAGGTGGCCTTCTGTCTCAAACGGACAACAACCGCGGCGACCTCGACAGCGAGCCCTGCTCAGAATGAGCAGGCACTGCTGTTGGTCTTGGTCACCATCCTTCCCAAACCCACTTCGGTCATACTGGGCCTCAGGAGCGGTCCTGCCGCACCACCGGCCGGCTAATGCCGATCTGCAGCTCGGGCACGTCTGGCGAGACCGCCTGCGCGCGTGCTCGTGCGCAGCTCGGGCGCTGCTCGATACAGTCGGGACCTTTTGCTCAGCGTGTCGCGGCGGCGGCGGCCCCAGGGACACGCTCTGCCCTGCAAAGGGGATAGCGTGTCGCTCCGCTTGGCGCGATCTCGGGGGGAGGGGGGGGGGAGGCCCTGAAATTCTCGCTCGGGGCGTGAGTGCGCGGAGACTGGGACGAGGTCAGCGCGTCGCGCCGAAGCGTGGTGGGCCCAAACCGCCGGAACGACAGGCTGCCCAAAGATCCCGACCGCAAACGGAGCCCGCGGGAGACGGGGAGGGGAAGGGGGGAGGAGGAGGAGGAGGAGGAGGAGGAGGAGGAGGAGGAGGAGGAGGAGGAGGAGGAGCAGGAGGAGGAGGAGGAGGGAGGGAGGGAGGGAGGGAGGGAGGGAGGAAAGGTGCACCCTTCGTACACATTCGGGGCCCCTCGAGGGCCCCTGCCCTGCAGCCACCGACCCTCCCGCCCCTATTCATCGCCCACCCAGGCCCACGCACGAGGCGCCTTGGATGTCTTCAAAGCGAACTCCCCGCCGAACGTCTCGACCCTCTCCACAGGGCTGATGTTTCTTCGCGGGCCGATTTTTGACTGCCTCGGGGCTCGGCGAGGGCCTCCGGAGGCCGAAAACGGCCAAACACCTCCCGTCGGGATCTGTTGTTTTCCAACGCGGGCTTGTCGTGCCTATGATGTCAGTCGGAAGAAAAGTGCCGCGAGTGGCAAACATTTGGCTGTGGCTGCGAGTGGAAACCATTTGGAGCGGACCAGTCAACAAAATACTGCGAACCCTTGGAAAGTTTCCTGATATTCTGAGCGGTCCCAGGTTAGGTCGCAAGGGGTCGCGGGTGGGCCGGGGGATCGGCGCGGGCTGGGTCGCGGTTTGGGTCGCGGGTGGTCGCGGTGGGTCGCGGACGAGGACGACGACAAATCAACAACAGCAGCAGCAACATCAGTAGCAACAGCGACAACACCAACAACAACACCAATACAAACAACAACAACAACAACAACAACAACAACAACAACAACAACAACGACGACAACAACTACAACTACAACTACACCTACAACTACAACTACAACAACAGCAGCAACACCAACACCATCAATCACATAAAACAAACAATCAATCACATCAACAACAACAACAACAACACCAATCATTTTACCCGAACGCTCAGTGTTCTCACCAGTGCCAGGGTTTTCATGCGACGCGAGACAATACCCCCACTTCGTGGGGGGGCAGTTCAAGCTCTACCAAATATCCAAACGACTCTTCGCGACCACCCAAACCCAGCTTCCCGCCCTATGACGTTGGGACACTTCACTTCGTGGCGTGCGGACGACCGTGGCTACTACACTGGCGTGGGGTACACACCCACAGAACTTGGTCACTTATTCGGGGCGCGCGTGTGCCCAGCATCCTGCAATTGTGACATACAATACATGACACAGACAGACAGAGAGAGAGACAGAGAGCAGACAGAGAGAGAGACAGAGAGAGCGGAGTTGGTCACATTTTTGGGGCAAGTTCCTGAGATCGTCGTGTTTTTTGTTGGTCTTGCGCGCGCGAATGTCCACTTTACTTTTTTTTGCAAGGGAGTATTGAAATTTGATTATGTTAGAACAAGAAAAAGTAGCTCGCGCGAGCTCATGTAACATAAATGTTGAAAAACCATTGGTTTTGTGGGAGTCGGACAGCGCGCGCGGGATGAAATTTGGACATTTTTTTTTGAAAAACCATTGGGTTTTTGATGTTTTTATGTTGAAATCGTTACGAAACCTAAGGTTCTGGAAGGATTTCGTCTTGCGCGCGCGAATGTCCACTTTACCTTATTTTTTGCAAGGGATTATTGAAATTTGATTATGTTAGAACAAGAAAAAGTAGCTCGCGCGAGCTCATGTAACATAAATGTTGAAAAACCATTGGTTTTGTGGGATTCGGACAGCGCGCGCGGAAGGACATTTTGACAATTTTTTCTTAAAAAACCATTGGGTTTTTGATGTTTTTATGTTAAAATCGTTACGAAACCTAAGGTTTTGGAAGGATTTCGTCTTGCGCGCACGAATGTCCACTTTACCTTATTTTTTGCAAGGGATTCTTGCAATTTGATCAAGTAAGAACAAGAATTTTCATTTTCTATTGTTTTTTGCAAGGGAAAACGAGCGTCAACAAAAAACCGGATCCGGAGCTCATCCACTTTTCTGAAGCTTTCGCGAAAAAATGATGAAAATGTAGCTGCGGCCTAGGCGCGGCGCAGAGGTCGCGCACCAGGGGTCCCAACAATAATAATTCTTTAGAAGGAATAATGTTCAACAACACCAACAGCAGCAACAACCACCAACAACAACAACTTTAAGACTGTTCACTCTTATCTGCTCGCGTGCCACTCAACACGTATATTCCAAATCCTCGATACCCGCCTTCTTCGATCGTACCACCTTGGGGGTAGACCACATTTACCTGCAACACGTATCTCGTGCAGCCCCTAGACCATAGAACAAGGGAAGCGAGGACGGATAAAAAGGGAGGGGCAAGGGTGAGGGAGAAGGACGGAGCAAAAGAAAGACTAGCAGGAGGGGGCATGGAACAGAAAACACGTAGCATAAACAGACGGACTGATCTTGCGGGTAGACCCTGACGGGCGGGTCGGGATGGCAGGCGCTGGAGGCCAGGTCGAGCAGGCGTGTTGCGAAGGCGTGCGCCCTGCATGACTCGCGAGGAAGTCTCGAGCGACAACGCGATTCCCAAACAAAACTGTGAGAAAAGCCAAGAGTTAGAGTGCGATTCCTGAGCGTCGAGGGCGCGGCGTTTAAACACAATTGCGAGGAAGTCCCACGCGGGAGGGCGATTCCTGCACTTCTTGTGAGAAGTCTCGCGCGTGAGCGCGATTTCGAATACATTGTGAGGAAGCATCCGGCGGGAGCCGTTGTTGTTGTAGGTCGGGGGCCGACAACAAAATCTGAGGAGGAACGCTTTCCGTTGAAAAGACAGCGTGCCAGTCCCAGGAGAAGCACTTGAATCACTTGAATTGAAAAACGCACGGCGCACTAGACAATGGGGGATAACAGCCAACATGTTTTAGACAGGGAGTGTCAACAACAACTAGGGCGCGCCGCTGGATGTCCCCAAGGGCGGGGGGGGAGTTGAGAACCCCTTCCCCCCTTTCCCCGATCCGTCGTGCCCCACCCCCCCACCTCCCCCCCTTTCTCGATCCGTCGTCGGGGACCCCCCTCCCTTCCCCCCTGGCCACGAAGGGCTGCAACGGGCCACGAAGGGCAGCGAGATCCCGATTCCTAAATAAGCTGTGACGGAGTCCTAAGCGTGGGCGCGACTCCTGGGTGCCTGAGTGTCGGGGGCGCAGCGCTTGAGTAAATTGCGGGAAATTCCAACACAAGGGCGCGATTCTTGAGTCAATTGCAAGCAAATCTCCAGCTAGAGCGCGACTCCAGAGCGCCGAGAGAGCGATTCCCCTCCCACAGAAAAATAAGGAAAGCCCACGCGAAGGCGCGATGCCTGAGTAAAAATGCGAGGACGTCTCAGGCGGGAGCGGGGGTCCTGGCTAAAGTGTGAGGAAAGGGGGAAATACTTCAATTCAAAAAAACACGATGATCACCGGAGAGGGGGGATCAACAATATGTACTCTTCAATCGTGAAAGTTCAACAACAACAACCATGTTGAGACTGTTTGTTGCTCGCGTGTCATTCATTCAAAGTGTATATACCAAACACTCGATACCCGCACTCTTCGTCTTCGATCGTACCCCTCTTGTGGGCATATCTTCCTTACCGTCCACGTGTAGTTGGCGCAACCCACGAAACCAAGGGAAGGAAGGGAGGAGGTAGTAGACAAGGGGGGGGGGATGGATGGAGCATGGAAGAGACTTGCATGAGGGGGATTCGGAGCAGAAGTGCAAGCGGCAGAACCAGGCGGGCGGGTCGGGCGGGCGGACACTAACGGGCTGGTCGGGCGGGCGGCCCAGACGGCCGGGTCGAGCGGGCGGGTCGCTGAAGCATCAGCCCAACATGAATCGAGGAAGACAATCGCCAGGAAATCCCAAGCGAGAGCGTGATTCCTGATTCTTGGGGGCACGGCGTCGCAATGAAGCGCGAGGCAATACCACGCGCGAGCGAGATTCCTCACTTAAGGAACTTCCGCGCGAGAGCGCGATTCTCGAATAAAGTGAAGCATCAGGCGGGAACCATTGCATTCTCAGGTGTAAAAAAAATTATTGTTGATCCCCCACCCTTCCGGGACACCTGGGATCTTTCAATGACAGTTCTCCTCCCGGGGCTTGCACCCTGCTTTTTGCAAGGGGAAGCGGAGGGTCACCAAACTGGGCCCCTGCCCCCCGACTTACAACAGCAACGACAACAACAACAACAACAACAACAACAACAACAACAACAACAACAACAACACCAACGACGGCTCTCGCCTGATACTTCCTCAGAAGTTGTTTAAAATCGCGCTCTCGCGCGGGATCCCCTTACAAACTATGCAGAAATCGCGCTCGCGAGTGGTTCATACATTATTCAGACGCCGCGCCCTCGGCACTCAGGAATCACGTTTTCGCTTCGGCCGCTCTCACGACTTACTTGGGCCCGCTTGGGCCCGCCTTCCCGACCCGCCTGTTAGGGTCTAACCCGCCCAATGGTCCCTTCTGGTTCTGACACATGTTTTCTGCTCCTAGTCCCCATCCTGCTAATCCCGTGGTACATCCTTCTCCCTCCCCCTTCCATCCGTCCACTCTCCCCTGTTCCAGGGCCTGCGCCAGTTACACGCGGCAGGTATGGAAGACATACCCCCAAGGGTACGACGTGTACGATCGAAGAGAAGAAAAGGGCGGGTATCGAGGGTCTGGGGTATACGTGTTGACTGACACGCGAGCAAGTAAGAGCGAATAGTCTTAAACTGAGTGTTGCTGTTGTAACTCGGAAGCAAGGGGCGCAGCTTGAGGACCAATACTTCCCCCTGTAAAAAAAGCGTGAGCCCCCAGAGGAGCGCTTAATTGAAAAGGGGGATCAACCAGAATGATTCCATAGGCATGAAAACTCAACAAACCGGCGACGCTCCCTGGCGCCAGGATAATGGGAGCAATCGAGCTCGACGATTAATCCCATTATTCCAATGGGATTAATCGAGCCCGATTACACCCATTATCCCACAATGGGAGTAATCGAACTGGATCACCCCCATTATCCCACAATGGGGGCCATCGAGCTCGATTACACCCATTACCCAACAATGGGAATAATCGAGATCCGTTACGACCATCATCCCACATTGTGCGTAATCGGGCTCGGTTACTCCCACAATCCATAATGGAAGTAATCGATATCGATTACTCCCATTATCACATAATAGGAGTAGTCGAGCTCAATCACACCCATTATCCCTTAACGTGGAGCTCGATTACACCCATTATCCTACAAGGGAAGATCTCGATCTCGATGAATCCCTTCATGGAATGCATTATGGAATGCTATATCAGCAACAGCACGATAAGCATAATCCGCCAAAAGGAACGCAACCCCTGCCACGCACCCAGGGACCATGATTGACTGACCCTTCGGTACCCTCACTCTGACATAAAAGGCTTGGTACGTCCCGAGGCAACTTTACGCCGCGGCCATGTCTGGGCCCCTCCTTGCGAGGCGCCCGAGCAGCCCCAGTGCCAGCGACGTCGAGGGCTGCGCTGGAGGAGTCGCGAAGAGACCAAGACCTCCGAAACATCGATCCTCAAGACGAGGCCGGGGCAGAGAGACGGAAAGATCCCGCACGGCTGCTGGGGCCTGGGGCGGTCCTGCACAGGGCACAGGAGGGTGATTCGCCTGCAGAGCTCACACGCAGTACACACACGACCAGGCAACGCACCACAACACAACATTGCACAGCACAGCACAAGCACAGCAGAGGAACAAAATCGGACCTGGGGAGAAATCGTGGATCTCTGAGATCAAGCGGTTCTGGAAGATGCATCGGGCGCCACAATCTTCTCAGAACGTTCCGGAAAGTTCTGGGAGCGTTCCAAAACGCTCTCGAACGACCTTTCCCTGTCCTAGCCCGGCCCGATATTTGTTCAGCCGCGGTTTCGGCCCCCGGGGCCGCCAAAAATAAATTCAGGATGAGAGACCCCCCCCAGCGAGACGACCTATATGTTACTGCGCAGAGACAAACACATCTCGGGCCGGGCGAAAGGGGGGGATAGCGAAGGGGGGCTTTGAGAATCAGCTCGCGTAGCTGATTTTCCCGGCTTCTCCCTGTGCCGGAGGCGGCTACGTATGGAGGAATGGGCCCCTCGGGGGGGGGCCGAAACCAGCTGCATTCAGCAGATTTCGTAACCCCCCTTTCCCAATCCCCCCCTCGTCCGGCCCGAACGTCGTCGGACGTCGGGGAGGGGCGCTCGCCAGAGAGGAAGGCTATCGTGCGGGAGAGGAGCCGCTCCTCCTCGGGGGTCGGCCTCCCAGGGGCCCTCCACGGGCCCCTGGACCGCCCCCAAAAAAGAGAGCTGCCTCGGGTGAAGGGGCCCCAGGACACACAAATAAATGCGCACAAATCATAGGATTCCCCCATATCTTCCCATACTTTCTTGGCTGTTGTCTTCCCCCCCACTTCCCATATTTCTTCCTGGGGATCGACGATCAATTGTGCCTGTGTGTTTGTTCCCCTCCTGACCGGGACCCGCCTCCCCCCCCCCTCGGGAGGGCGAAGAGGAGGGGCGAGGAGGGGCCGGGCGAGGGCCTCCGGGGGCCGAAGGAGCAGAGCACCGCCACAGCGAGAGGACGCCCTGCCGAGGGACGCGTCAGCTGCGCGCTCGCCCCAAGAGGCCCCCAAGATCGCCCCAAGGCGGCCCCAGAGGACTCCAAGAGGGCCCTCGAGCAGCCCAAGAAGACCCAGGACAACCCAGAACGCCTCCAGGACGGCCCAGGAGGCCCCCAAGACGGCTCCAAAAGCGTGCCCAGAAGGGGGACCCGAACATCCATTTCGAGCCCTCGGCCCCAGGAGGCTCCCAGGACGCCCCAAGAGGTTCCCAAGAGGCCCGAAGAGGCCCACAAGAGGCCCCCAGGAAGCCCGAACAGGCCCCCAAGAGACTCTCAGGAGGCCCCGAAGAGGCTCCCAAGAGGCCCCAGAGTTCCGCCCCAGAGGCCCCAAGAGCCGTCCGAGGAGACCCCAAGATGCATCCCGGAGAACTCTGGCCCTCGTCAGCGCCGTCATTGTTACCGCCGCCGCCGTTGTCGTCGTCGTCGTCGTCGTCGTCGTCGTCGTCGTCGTCGTCGTCGTCGTCGTCGTCGTCTCCCTTCAGGGTCGGCGGCGCTGGCCGCAAGGCCTTCGCAATAACTCCTCACTGTCGCACCCCGAGATGTGTCAGTAGGGCAGGCCAAGTGTTTCGCCTGAGACTTTCTCACCATTGACGATCCGTCAAGCTTAGACTTGCGAGAGTTTCACGATGGGAGGCGGGTCGTTTTCAACACGTGGCTCTCGCCGTAGCGCCGCGCACATTCGCCATCACCGTTTGCAAGAGTTTCACGGGGGAAGGCGGTACCTTTTGAAAATTTGGCTCTCGCCCTAGCGCCGCGCACAGTCGTCTGAAAAGTTTGACGGAGCTTCCAAGATCGAGGCCAATACCTTTTCAAAATGTTGCCCTCGCCTTAGTACCGCGCGCCTAGCGCCAAGCACATTCGTCTCAAGAATGTACAACAAACTCAAGGGGTCTTGACCTCCCAGAAATGGTGTTTTGGCACGAGGTAGAACTGTCACAGCGCATCTGTTAGGTTGATTCGCATTGTTGAAGCCCCACGACTCGTGTTCTGACACGATTCAGGACCGTCAGGGCGCAACCGTAACGCTGATTCGCATCGTTGACGTCCCAAGAACGGTGTTCTGGCAAGCTTTAATATTTTTGGTCGGTTGTCGTCCAACGAGACACTCCCCTGTGCAAATGAATACTAATAGAGACCTATGAAGAGGGAACTTGGACGGAGGTGTTATTGCAACATCCTTGATGGGTCTTGGGTTTGCACTGGTCCTCCTCTTCCTCCTCCCTTTGTTTCCCACCTCCCTCTCCTCCTCCTGCTCCTCCTCCTCCCTCTCGTGGAGGGCTCCACGATCACGGCGGCTCCTGAGAGTCAGAGGCGTAGGATGAGCACGAGGAGAGGCTCCCCTCGGTGTCCGCCCCCGGCCCGCGGGGTGGTCGGGGGCCGCCCGTGGCCTTCCGCGCCATCGCCGCGGTGTTCTGCGAGGCGTCGATCTGGTCCTGCGGCCGGCAGGCGGGAAGCCCCCGAGCTGGAGGCACGACGAGAAGTACCGGCACGGCCGCTCCCGGGACCTCTGACCAGGACCCTGAGGTGAACGAGCCGGGGCGACGAGAGCCCCCCCCCCTCCCCCCTGGGAGGTCCACGACGACGGAAGGGAGCGAGGCCAAGGGTTCTGGGACCTGGCACGTCTTCTTCGCAGACGTCCAACAGTGCGACCCGTGTGTAGCATGGCTCCGTTGAGGTCTGGGCGGCGTTCCCGGCACCGTTGAGTCGTCCCGAGTCGGTCTTCGACGGTCCCAGGGGCCGGTGAGGGCCCCTGGAGATCGCTGCCTGTGCACAAGTCTGAACGTCTGTGTATAGATAGTGTATACCGAATGCGATGAAAATGGCGAAACCCCTTCAGAACAGAAGGAACAAACAACGTGGGCTCCAAAGCTCGGAGCCCTTGAGCTTCCTCTTCGTTCGCTCGTCGCCTCCAGGCCTCCCGCCCCTGGGCACCCTGCAAGGGCCTCCAGCCCCCCCCCCCAGCCCCCTGCCCTGGCCCTGGCCCTGGCCCCACCTGGCCCCCGATCAGCTGCTTGTTCGTTTCGTCGCTCGTTCACCACTCGTGGCTCCGCCCCCCACCCCCCATCCCCCCCCCCCGCGCACCCCCCCTTTCTGGGGCGCTGGCCCCTGGGCCCCCGCCCCCGCGCCCCTGGGCCTCGTCGTGGCCCTCCTGGCCCTGGAGCCCACTTCTTGCCCTCCCCCCCCGCCCTCTCTGGCCCCAGCGCTGCCTGTGGCCCCATGAGCTATTCTTCCCCCCCTCTCTCTGGCCAGTGGGCCTCCCTGGCCCGAGTCTCCACCAGAACCCGCAAGCAGAACCCAGCACGAGTGCAAAAGATCCTAGACCCTAGACGCCCCCCAACAAACTCCCCCCTCCTTCTGCACTCCTCCATCTCCGTCTCCAGCTTCTCCCCGCACCCTCATGCAAAAGCGCCACGCGTGCCAGGCTTTGCAAGACCCCGTCCCCCGTCCAGCGGCTTCGAGGAGAAGGACTCGACTGAAACGCACGGATCGTCGCCAACAATTCCGCCAACACCCAATTTCCTTTCCAGCAATCGCGTCCTGCAACTTCTTTGCTTTACCACTATCGCGTTCGGCAAGTTCTCCGTCAGAAGCCGCGATCCGCAAATTGCCAGGCAACACGCGGGGTTGCTGACTGACTGACAGCGTCATCATGAAAGACATCACGTTTTGAACCACAAACACGTGGTGATTGATCTTCGCTGACATGCTTTCATGGATGACCGAACGATTCGAATAACCTACGCGTGGTACGTGTTTCGTTCCCGCTATTGCTCATTTTGACGCAGACGCACCTGCTCAACTTACGCACCGTATCCACAACATAGGCCGGTAAACTAAACCAAGTGATGACCGAATTCCAAGGAAGCAGCATGCGATCAAATGATTCCAAATCGAGCGGTAGGGTGGCGCATTCGTGAACAACACTTACCAGTTTCGCGATAAGTCGATCATGTGTCGGTGTATGTCAATGCGTGGCACGTGATTGGATCACCCGTCAAATCACCATGCTGGCAAACTGCGATCAAGGAAAGCACGGCGGCAGTGTCCTTTCGCCGGTGGTCCATGCCAGCAGCCTTAATTGCGCACTGCCCAGAGCTATGAGGCAGTGCACCCACGCTGGCACAGAAGCAGGGACAAGGCCACGCTTCAATTCACGCGCGGGGGCAGACCACACGCACACACACACACACACTCACACATACACAACTGCGCAAACGCCCACTCATGCAATGCTTTGGGGGGGGGGCGCATCTTTGGGTTCTGCCAGCCTCCGCCCGCCTTCCGTCGGCTTTCGCCAGCGGGCCTGCCCTCGTTACGCTTCCGTTCCGCCGCCTTCCGAGAGGAAGGCTAGACTTGTGGATGCCATGACAATGGACACTCTAACAACCCTATCATTGAATTGAATGTGTGTTGAAAATGTGTAGTTCTGAAAAGTGTCATACACAACATCCTTTTACCATACTTCAAACATATTTGAAACATCGTTTAGACATCTGGAAATTGTTTGACAACATGCTTCCTCTCCATCAATCGACTTCCACAAGGCTAGACACCACCCCCTCGACCCGTCGAAAGAACGTACGACCTTTGCTGGAGCGACCTCCATCGCGACACGAGAGTTCCTTGTGAAATGCGCGCTTGCAATCAAATAATGTCGAGTCCGTCACCGTGCCCCCTGGCACTTGGCGGAGCGGTGTAGTGCCAATGCTGCCTCCCACGCCGTGATTTGTTCGTAACGTGGTTCCCTGGAGGTCTGGACCTTTCACCAGGATCGGTTTTCCATTCATGGTCTTTTGCTGACGCCCTCGGGACCCGATGCGGGCCCCTGGAGCCTGAAAAGTACGCTCGAAACGCCAGTCGTGCCTTGGTCTGATGTTGAGAGGAGGCCCGACTTGGTCTCTAAAGCCTCCAAGCTTCCGACTCGCGCGTCGCCATATGCACCGCCCCCCTCCCTCCCCCTCCCCCCCCTTCCCAAGGCTTGGCGCACTGAACGCCCCCCCCTTCCCCCCCCCGACGAGTCCCAGGGCCTCCAAGATGCCCAGGAAGGGTGGCTTCCAAGGCGGCCCATGGAGGCCACGAACGCCGCGAAGACGCCCCAGTAACGCCTCAAGAAGGACCCGACATCCTCGAAGACGACCCCAAGAGGCGCCCAACAGACCCAACGAGACGCCCAAGGGGCCTGCAAGAGCTCCCAGACCGCCACTGAGAGTCCGAAAGCATGGAACAACCTGGGATATGTTTACCTTCGTCTGCCCCCTCATGTTTTTCCGCCTCGAGCAGACGCAAGAGGCGCAGGACCCAAGACAGCCCAAGATCGCCCCTCAACTCCACGACGACCCATGAGATTCCTAAAACGGCCAGGACCCTACAAAATGACGCGAAGACCCCAACGGCGCCCAAGAGGCCCATGCCAGCTCCTACAAGGAGCCCCAGCTGCAGACTTTCGGGAGGCCTGCCACGACCGCCTAGGCCATGGGAATGCTGCGGGAGTGGGATCTGAGGAAGAGTGGCGTCAGATGTCATGGCTCGCTGGGCCCTCAGGAAGAGACTATCACACATCATGGCCGCAGCGTCTCGCTCGTGGAAGACCGGAGCACACGAGAACGGCCCAGCGGAGCCTCGGAGCGAGAACTGTCCCGCGTTACGTGCTCACTGGAGGCTCCCAAGGGCGGAGCACACAGATGGCTGCGCTGGCACAGGAAGACGCTGCCGCATGAACCTGGATATGCCAGGCGGTCATGTGGGGCCCAACGCACTCAACATTATGACTTCAAAGACCACCGATCGAACGATACAACGAGGAAATGTCGACCGCTGCTGGCTCTGAAGGGACTCATGTGCAAGCAACGGCCACATCAGTTGCCCTCGCTTCCTGCACTTGACTGCCAATACCAGAGATATCCTGAACGGAAAGGGTCCAGAGGAACCGGATTCTGAACCTTAGGGCTTTCCCCAATATCGGCAGTCGGCGTATCGGAAACGGACAGACACCTCAAGACCCAAGGTCCCTTCCCCTCAGCACCCTCTCTCGTCATGGACATATCAAACCAGCGTCTGCATGCGTCTGTATACTATGGTAAGCGCATGCGCTCCTCGCAACGCAATTTCGGGGGGGCACGTGCTGGAGGGGTCGAGTCCCTTGCGCGCGGCAGCGGCTGCCGCTGTGGCAGCCGGGCCCGCGATCACAGAGGCCAGCCCGGACACGCCCAGGCCCAGATGCGGGCCAGTGGCGCATGGCTCGGCGGGAGCCCACGCGAGAGCCAGCTTCGGGTGAGGCCGGAGATGGCAATGGCGTAAGGTGGCCCCAGCTTTCCCAGGAATGCCCCGGGCGGCCTCCAGAGATCACCCGTCGTGGCGCATGGAGGGCCAGGATAACCCTTCGTGGCAACCGCCGACAGCTGCACCAGTCTACCACCTGGCCCTCCTCTTCTTCTTCTTCGTATCATTTTTCGTCGTCGCTTTCGTCTACTTCTATTCCACCTCTTCTTCATAGTATCTTCCCTCTTCTTTGTCTTATCCTTCTACTTCTGATTATGATTATCTTCATTTGCATGGAATTATACTGCTTATTCGTATCATTACTAATGTTGTTTGCATTATCATAGTATTGTTATGCGTCGTCTTATTCTTCGTATTGCAAGTATTCCCCTCCGCAGCCTGGCGAAAGTGTCTAGGGGTAGAGGCGGGGCTTCAATATTTGCGAGCGCGAGGCCGCCTACCATCGCTTTCTGCCCCAGAGGTGGCCCGCGCGTCGCGCTGGCCCACGGAGACTAGAGGGCAGAACACATCGAAATCGGACTGCTCTTCCTGGTGGTCAACGTCCCAACTCTTCCCCCCTTGTGAAAAGCCCTGCCCGTCGCACCGCTGCCCGTGCAGATCGGGCGGCTCAGGCGGCTCACCCGGTTGCAGAGAAAACCCACGAGGACACCAGTCCGATCCGAGGGCATTCCGTGCCCCAAACACGACAAGGGCATGAGCCGTAAGTTGGCGGCGCGCACAAGGGGGTGGGGGGAGGGGGGAGGGCTTCTTAGAAGGAGGCTGCTTCTTAGAAGGCGCCGGCCTGACATTTATAGAGAAGGCCCGCGTCTTTCAAGAAGCAGGGGTGCTTCTAAGAAGCCCTCTCCCCTCCCCCCACCCCCCCTCTGCGCGTGGCTCAGTAAGACGGTCTGCATCGTGACACGATGCACACCTTGCAAGCGGCTAGCGCGTCGCGCCGATCCGTGGGGCGGGAGGCCAGGAAAAGCACATGGGATTGGGGGCCGTGGGGCGCGTGCCGCGCCGCGGGCGTGGTGGGCCAGAGCGGTCGGCGCGACAAGCTGCGCAGGAATTCCTGACCGCACGGCCGGACCGCGGCAGAAGGACGCCCTCCAGGAACACGAGGCCCTCCGCCGGCACAGTTGAGAAACAAAAACATTCGAGGGTGCCCTCCCCAAGGATGCGCAAGAACACCCAACCTCCCCGAGCCGACCTCGATCCTATGCCTCGGTCCGACCGCAATCGGAACCGCCTGCATCGTGAACCTCCAAAGCTTGCCGAGTTCCGAGCACGCGGCGTGGCCATCGGCCCATCACCGCTCCCACCTTCGCAGGCTCTGACCCCGCTGCATGCTCAAACGGCCCTCGCCGTTCTAGGCGGGCCCGCGCCTTCATAAACCGGAACGCCGCCATCCTGCTGCTGATGCCCCTTCCTCCTCCCCGTCGTCCTTCTACCTCCCTCATCCCCCCCTCCTCTCCAATTCCCCTTCCCGCCCCTCCATCCTCATCCTCCTCCTCTCCCTCTCTGTATCCCTCTTCCTCCTGCTCCCCACCCTCCTCCTCCTCCACCCCCTCCGGATCCGGATCCGAGGCGGCGGCACGCGCGGCGGCTGGCGTGAGCTTGGCGTCCTCCAGCAGCTGAGACAGGTCCCACACCCGCACGTCGCCGTCCTGGGGGGGGAATACAACATATGTGCTGGCTGTCTTTAGGGCGGGGTTTTCGAGCTCAACTGACTCACTCGGTTTTTGCATCATCGTCATCATCATCGTCATCATCGTCGACATGATCCTCATCATCGTCCTCATCATCGCCATCATCATCACCATCTCCTCATCATCGTCGTCATCATCATCATATCCATCATCATCTTCTCGTCATCGTCATCATCATGTGGTGATGATCATGATGATAATGATGATGATGATGATGATGCTGATGATGATGATGATGATGATGATGATGATGAAGATGATCATGATGATCACGATGATGATGGTGAGGGTCGGCCAATCGGGCGCAGGCTGACAACGTTCCGTCGTGTTCTGTCGTCTCTCTGGGTGCTGCTCAGGGGCGAATAGAATGGGAGAGGGGGACGGAGGGGACATTCGGAGCACTTGCGCAACACACAGCGTGCAGAGTGCGGGGAAGAGACATGAGGGAGGAGGGCGGGGCGTTTGCCAGCCGAAGCTGGCCGACGCCTGGGCAGTAGCAACCGCAACCTATCGCTCAGCCCCAGCAGCCAGGCCCATCTTGGAAGGGCCTGCGTAGCGCGGAAACCTACCTTGGAAAGATCGCGTTTCACGGGCGCTTGCTTTGGGAACATTCAGCGGCTTCCCGAACCCCCCCCTTCCCTCCCAAGGGGGGGGTGGGGGGTTCAAACCCCCCCCCTCAGCGCCGGCGCCGGCGCCGGCGCTGGCGGCCGCCAGCACCGCCGACGGCGGGGACGCAGCGACGATGACCAGAAGCAGCCCAAGGGGGGGAGGTTCAAACGCCCGCCCCACCCTTCCTGGCGCCGGGCTCGCGCCCGCGCCCGCGCTGGCCCGCGCCCGCGCCGGCGCTGGCGGTGGCCAGCAGTGCTGGCGTCGGCGCCTGCGACGGCGGGGACGCAGCACCGCCACCACCACCACCACCGCCTCAACCCACCATCACTACCAGCACCACCAACAGCACCACACAACCACCACCACCACCACAGCCACCACTACCACTCCCACAACCACCACCACAACTCAACACCACCACCACCACCACAAAAACCCACAACTACAATCACCACCACCACCACAATCTACCACACCACCACCACCACCACCACCACCGCCACAAACACCACCACTACCAGCAGCACAACCCACCGCCACCACCACAAACCACCACACCGCCACCACCGCCACCGCCACCACCACCACCACCACGTCCACAAACCACCGCCACCACCACAACCCACCACCACCACCACCAACACAAACCACCACCACAAACCACCACCACAAGCCACCACCACACCACCAACCACCACCACCACAACTTACCATCACCACCACCCGCCACAAAAACCACCACCACTCGCCCGACAGGGGCTCCGCGCGATCGGGATGCCGCGGAAGCGTCGACCACCACCCGCGGGGAAGGTCCGTTGGGGCCGAGGTCGGAGGCTTCGACCACCCCCCGAAGAGGGGCCCCATCCTCAGTCGACTCACCCGCGGCTGCGCAGGAAATGGCCGCGGGGGCACCAGGGCCGCGGGGTCCAACTGGTGCGGATGCGTCGGCCGCCCTCTCGGACGAGGCTCGCGCTTGGCCACGCATAGCTTCTCGCCCGCTCCAACGCGGGGGGGGGCTGGGAATAGCCGCTCACGCGGGGGGCGCAGCGCTCCCTCGAAGCAGCGCGGGACTGGACCAAGCCGCCAATGCCTGGGCAACTGCCACTGGCGCCGACGGCCAGCGAAACCGCGGCAAAGAGATAACCTGCGACGCAAGACGCGCCTCGCAAACAAAGGTGCGCTCTCCCGGCAGGAGCACCCTGGAATGGCTCAGCAGACGCTGGGCGGGATTTTTCGCGCAGCCCGACGGGAAGGCTCGGCCCGCCAAGACTGCCTGCCGAAACTTGCCCGCGCTCGACACCGGCGCCCCCGAACAAAAAAAATGCCCTGGATCAAAAAACCCGGCCGAAGCACCCCCCCAACAGGCGAGCGTACCCAACGCCAAGCTGCACCCTCCTCCGATCGCCAGGGGACATTGCCTGTTGAACCGAAACTCAGCCAGCCAGGCGGGAGTCCTGGCACATTCTAACGAGATGGCGGGACTCGCGGAGACTGCCTCCTGCAACTTGCCCACGCTTGACCCCGGCGCCCCCAGAAAAGCCGGGCCCTGGATCAAAGTCCTGACGAAGGATTTTCCCCCACAAACGAGGGCGCCCATCGCCGAAGTGAGACCCCTCGGCGTGCGACAGAGAAATAATAATTACCCTGGCGACGTACCCAACCCCTGCGCAAACGCGGGGCGCAAATAGTTTAGGACACTTTATAAGGGGGGCGATGACGGAGCAAGGGTTACATATGTCTGCAGACGGAATTCGGGAGACTCGCAGGAAACTGGCTTCAGGACAAGGACTAGATAAAGCTGATTAGTTGCAATCCCTGAGCAACCCTAGCCACTTCGAAAGCGGAGATCTCAGATCGCAGCCCCCCAGGGATGGCGAGGTCTAATTTGGGTCCGCGCGTGGCGTCACTGTGCTGGGCCCGCCAAGCAGGCCTCGAAAGTGGCGACAGTTTCACAGATCGCAGCCCCCCCCAGCGATGGCGAGATCTAACTTGAATCTGCCCGTGGCCCTCACTGTGCTGGGCCCCCCAGCAGGCCTCGAAAGTGGCGACAGTTTCACAGATCGCAGCCCCCCAGGAATGGCGAAGTCTAATTTGAATCTGCCTGTGGCCCTCACTGTGCTGGGCCCCCCAGCAGGCCTCGAAAGTGGCGACAGTTTCACAGATCGCAGCCCCCCAGGGATGGCGAGGTCTAATTTGAATCTGCCCGTGGCCCTCACTGTGCTGGGCCCCCCAGCAGACCTCGAAAGTGGCGACAGTTTCACAGATCGCAGCCCCCCAGGGATGGCGAGGTCTAATTTGGGTCCGCCCGTGGCCCTCACTGTGCTGGGCCCCCCAGCAGGCCTCGAAGTGGCGACAGTTTCACAGATCGCAGCCCCCCAGGGATGGCGAGGTCTAATTTGGATCCGCCCGTGGACGTCACTGTGCTGGGCCCCCCAGCAGGGCTCGAAAATGGCGACAGTTTCACAGATCGCAGCCCCCCAGGGATGGCGAGGTCTAATTTGGGTCCGCCCGTGGCCCTCACTGTGCTGGGCCCCCCAGCATGCCTCGAAAGTGGCGACAGTTTCACAGATCGCAACCCCCCTCAGGGATGGCGAGGTCTAATTTGGGTCCGCCCGTGGCCCTCACTGTGCTGGGCCCCCCAGCAGGCCTCGAAAGTGGTGACAGTTTCACAAATCGCAGCCCCCCAGGGATGGCGAGGTCTAATTTGGGTCCGCCCGTGGCCCTCACTGTGCTGGGCCCCCCCAGCAGGCCTCGAAAGTGGCGACAGTTTCACAGATCGCAGCTCCCCAGGAATGGCGAAGTCTAATTTGGGTCCGCCCGTGGCCCTCACTGTGCTGGCCCCCCAACAGGGCTCGAAAATGGCGACAGTTTCACAGATCGCAGCCCCCCAGGGATGGCGAGGTCTAATTTGGGTCCGCCCGTGGCCCTCACTGTGCTGGGCCCCCCAGCAGGCATCGAAAATTGCGACAGTTTCACAGATCGCAGCCCCCCGCGGGCAAGACAGGAAGAGGCGGGAGGAGAAGGGACGCGACCACGCTGCTCTATTCAAAACGAATACCCAACCGAGGAGGGTTGGGAATAATAATAATTATTATTATTATAATTACTCCGACGGAAGAACCCCACATAAGAATCCTCTGGGCGAATCTGGAAAAAGCCATCACCGTCGTCTTCGTGGTTGGTGAGGCGTCCTGGCTGTCTCTTCTGCGTATATTTCCTCTCGCCTTGGCGCGGGCCCCCCTTCCACTCCTTACGTTGTCCCCATCCTCGCCCCCCTGTTTGTTCCGCGCCCCGCCACCTCCTCCCCTTCCTGTTGCATGAGCGCGCATGTCGATGTTCCTCGGCGCCGTCGCCGCCACGGCCAGCACAGGCGCGTTCTCTACTGGTCACGTCGCGCAGCCGTTGGGACAACCCCGCGGGCCAGGCTGTCGGGACAACCCCGCGAGCCGTTGGCGCGCAAGACCAAGCCGTTGGGACAACCCCGCGGGCTTCGAGCGAGGCGCAGCCGCGCTCAGGCGGAAGGCAGCACGAAGCCCAGCTCTGCCGCGAGCTGCTTCGCCTCCGCCCTGGACAAAACCGCTCTCTTGTCGAACTCCAGGAGCGCCTTCCGCAGGGACGCCGGCGGCCCGCACTCCAGGAACTCTCGCGGCGGCGGCCGCAGGATCAGCATGTTCCGCATGCACGTGGCGCGGGAGAACATGACGTAGAGGTGCAGCCACCACTGCTCGTCCGACATGCCCGTGCGGCCAGCGTCCTCGTCTCTCGCGCAGTCGATGGTGACGCCCTTGCGCAGCGTCTGGCCCTGCGACAGCGTGGAGGTCAGGTAGGACGCGTGCGTCAGGGTGAACCCCGAGCGGCGCACGCTGTGCGCCCCCGAGCTCTGCCATGTGAACTCCCTTTCGCTGGGCCTGAACATCAGCAAGCTCCGCGCCCGCGCCTCGATCTCCCGCCTGAGACTTCCTCCCAGTTCACTCACAGACGAGGCTCCCGCCTGAGACTTCCTCCATATTCAGGCTCGAGGAGCCCAAAAGTGACGACAGTTACAGGGTTCCGATGACCCGCTCGGATTACCAACATGATCTGCGGGCCCCATAGGGAGGGAGCTCCCGCCTGAGACTTCCTCACAATTCACTCAGAGACGAAGCTCCCGCCTGAGACTTCCTCCAAATTCAGGCTTGACGAGCCCAAAAGTGACGACAGTTACAAGGTTCCGATGACCCGCTCGGATTACCAACATGATCTGCGGGCCCCATAGGGAGGGGGCCCCCGCCTGAACCTTCCTCAGAATTCACTCACAGACGAGGCTCCCGCCTGAGACTTCCTCCAAATTCAGGCTTGAGGAGCCCAAA